TTATCTTCAAATTAATTTTTTATATTTAGGCGTGTCTTTAGATTTATGCATTGAACCATATATTCCATATATTGTTAAATTTTCTTACAAACCATACATAACTGTTATTGGGAGTAGAATTATTGAGACGTGATCAGCTCAAAGTTCGAGACATTTTGTGATCTTCTGGATGAGCTGAAACGAAAATATATAATAGAGGAATGCTATTGTCGACTGCCGCTGTCAGTCGTGTGAGGTGTCAGCAGCCTATTGGCTCCTGACTTTTGATATTTTTTATTTTCTGTTTTTTTGAGCCTCACGCCTTTTGATTCATTTTTTTATTTATTATTTTTTATGTTTCTTTGTCGATTCTCTCTCTTCTCCCTCCCCTGATATCTTTCTCTCTCTATGTCGATTCTCTTTTTTTATTACAAGAACTTGGGCAGGAACTGGCATACAATGGATCGGCGAGCATATGACGGCCGACAAAATTCGGAAGTGGGTTCGAGTCCCTGTGTGAGATCGTTCGAGTTGCGGAGAGTCACCAGCGAAACGGCGGTTGTCAACGTCTACGGTGATGGATTCAGTTGAGCCACAGTCGATGAAGTGGTGGTCAATCGGAGAGAAGGAGGCTGCGATTGCAAGGTTGATGAGAACAGATCCGGTTGTGGTGGATCGAGCTCGCGGCGGATTCTGGCGGAGACAAGAAGACGGCTGTGAGAACATATCCGGCGGTTGTGTGATGAGCTTTGGTCGGCGCGGTGAGCTTGGAGATGGAGAGCTCGACGACGGTTCACGGGTCCTATCTTGGACCTGTCTCAGTGTGCGAATCTCTTCGTTTTGCAGTTCGGGACAATCAGTTCACCGGTGTCATGCCTCCGACTCTGTGTTCTCTTCCCAAATTGGTGAATGTCTCGTTGCACCAATGTCTGTAATTTGGGGAAAGAATTTAGACATGGAGAGAGAAAGAGATCAGGGGAGGGAGAAAAGAGAGAATCGACAAAGAAACAGAAAAAAATAATTAAAAAATGGGTAAAGTGCAAATAACCCCCCTGTACTATTGACAAATTGCAACTAACCCCCCTAAACTAAAAAAAACCCCCTAAACTATGAATTTGTTGCATTTCAGTCCATTCCGGTGACCGACTTAACCGGAAAAATAAAAAGTCTGAATTGCCCTTATGATTATATATATATATATAAAGAAATAAAATAATAAATAAACATATATATATATATATATATATATATATATATATATTTCTGGTTTTAAACTGAATTTATATATATGTGTTTATATATATATATAACATTGGAGATTGAAGAGAGAGAGAAGCATCAGGCTGGAGATTGAATCATGAAGAAAATGAAGGAAAAAGATGGTGGCGGCGGCGGCGATTATGGTGACGGAAGAGGAGGTAAGTCGGCGATTATGGTGACGATGCGGAGTCGACGCGTCAAAACCCAAATCATCCTCGTCGCCGCTGGGATCTCACTGCCGTCATCTCCTGCGCCTGCCCCGCCACCGTCTCTTGCGGTGACAGCTGGAACGAGCTCGGATGGTGGAGAGGACCGGCGAGCAAGGTGGGCTGAACGGCAATGGGCTGGTTCGGCCATGGTTAACTCGCGGCGATGGGCTGGTTGCGGCTTAGCTGCACAGCGGCCGAGCTTCGCCTCATCCACCAACCTCCCTGTTCCGATCGGGACGGTCACCCACTTCTCGTTTTCATCGACCCCAAATTACTCCGCAATCATTCTCCACAAGTGCTTCCACTTGAACAGATCGCCGTTGCTGCAATTGAAAGCTTCGTTGCTCGCATACGGATCCATCGCCGCTCATACTAGTGCTCCGCTATCAGACCGGAATTCGACGCCACCGAGTAGCAGTTCCATACCGCCTTCGTTCCCGAGGGAGAACCAGAGATTGTGATTGAAGGGGGTGATGGCAGTGGGTTAGTGGGGGTTTGGTTTCACGGTGTGTGATGGGTTTGATGGAGAGAAGGTTAGGCTGTGGTTGGTGATGACGGGTGATGGTGGTGGCGGGATTGGGGTGGTGGCTGTGGGTTTGTGTACTGGTTCGATTGGGTTTGGTGGTGTGCCGTTGAGATGCCGATGGAGGTGGTAGTGATGGTGGTGGGTTTGATTTCGTTTAACGGTGTGTTTTGGCATGAGTTCAGGAGGGTTTCGTGGTGGTTATGTTGGTGGTTGCGGACGGTGGTGGTGGTTATGTTGGTGGTTGCAGAAGGTGGTGGTGGTCGTAGACGACGGTGGTGGTGGTTATAGGATAATTTGGTATTTTCATATATAGAAGGGCATTATTGTCCAAAAAACTTAATTTGTCTGTCGCGTGTGAATCACGCGCTCATTTTTGGACGGCCGGTCACCGGATGGGGTGATCTGCAACTTTTTTGTATAGTTTGAGGGGTTTTTTGCATTTTTGGTAGTTCAGGGGGTTAGTTGCAAATTTCTCCATAGTTCAGGGGGGTTATTTGCACTTTACCCTTAAAAAATTAATCAAAAGGCGTGAGGCTCAAAAAAAACAGAAAATAAAAAATAGCAAAAGTCAGCAGCCTATTGGCTGCTGACATCGACTGTCGCTAGCATCTCTTTATATAATAATACATTTTTTTTTTTTTTTTTATTCAGAACTTAATGATAATTTTGAATCATTGATGATTTTTTTTTGTCTCATTTTGAGGAGCCATGGAACTCCTTTGGGACGTTATGTGTTGGTTTTGCTTGTTAAAATGGAACTCTTGACTATGCTATGCTGCTAGTAACTTGAGCCGGTTGTACTCTCTTTCTCTATAAGAGCATATATATATATATATATATATATGTTTTAATCTATTTTTTGGAGCTCGTTGAAAAATGGTGTGGATTAGGTCTCAAACAGAAATTATTAGGTGACGTGAATCTCACTGGTTTTATATTAAGTTGTTTAATGATTTCGTTACTTCTCAAAGACACCTTCTTCTTTTATTGAATAGTATCATTGAAATCAGTTTAATTGAAGTAACATAAATTAGTTAAGATGAAAGGTTGCAGAAGAAAGATAAATATGATCACGCGTAATATAGTATGTTGGTTGAAGAAATATCATTGTTCTTCAACTTTAAAAAATATATAATTTTCTTTATATGAGTCCTGATCACACTTTTTATATAAACTGTTAGATTTTTAATGGTTATTTTACAAACCTATCTATGATTTTTTCTTTTAATACAAAATCACTCTCACCCTATTTTTAGTTTCTATAATTAATTTTACCATTACCACCTATTGTAACAATAAAAGGTAATTATCAAAATAAAAATAGAAACCTTTGAAAAAAAATTAATTCCCGTATATTTAAATTTTTCTTTGAAAGAAAAACAATACCCGCATCTTGCTAAAAGGCTTGATAGTGTCTGGGGTACCTGGTTTTTCTTCAGTTTTTTTTTTTTAAAACCAACTTTAAATGAGAAATCAAAGAGTAAGATCACTTGGGAGAGTAATGGGGTTGGTGGGTATGATAAATTAGACTTGAAACTTAATGTTTTCTTGGTTAAGCATGATATGGAGAATATGTATATGTGGGTTTTCAAGGAGAGGCTTGAAAATACATTGGAAAGATGCAGCTGAGATGTTAAGCGGTGTGCACTATTCCGGGATTTAGAGGTGTTTCATGTTGTTTCAGAACCAAAACTCTCATGGAAAACAGTATTATTGTTATAGTTATTTGTGCATGTATGTGTGGATAACAATATTATACAACTAAATAATGGAATCATATGACATTGACTTTATTCAAAATTGTTAAAGCTTAAACTAAATAAAACGAAAACAAAAATTTTCATCTCTTCATAAAGGGATGAAACTTAACAAAATTTAAAAACATTTAATCCTCAAACCCTTAAAGTAAACTCTTCAACGACAAATAAAAGTAAAGTTACGGGAATTAATTTTTTTTCAAAGGTTTCTATTTTTATTTGATAATTACCTTTTATTGTTACAGTAGGTGGTAATGGTAAAATTAATTATAGAAACTAAAAATAAGGTGAAAGTGATTTTGTGTTAAAAGGAAAGACCATAGGTGGGTTTGTAAAATGACCGTTAGATTTAATCTAACGGCCTATATAAAAAGTGTGGATTATTTTTCTTGCTCCACGGGGAGCAAGAGATCAGGACACTTCTTTATGTATAGTCCTGTAAAAATAAAAATGATAATTTATGGTCATAAAACCTTTTCATTAATAATATATATGACATTGATATAGATATTTGAAAGTTATGTAAAAAACATAATTTTCTTGTAAAACCTCTTTTAAAACAATTTTCACATTTTACTTGCTTTTTGTAAATTTTCTCATTTAGAGAGTGTATCTATTCAGGGAATTTAAAGAAAAAGTAAATAAGAAAGAAAAAGAACGAACTGACCTTTATTTTGTATATAAAAAGTAAAAAAGAAAGAAATATACCTATGAGATTTTGAACTATTTTAGTAATTTATCTAGAGACCAAATTAAGAATTGAGTTCACTTTAACTGGATAAAAATATCATTGTACTAAATCCAGGTGAAATATATATGACCAACTTTTTAACAGCTTAATCTCTAGACCTATAAAATTGGTTACAAAATATTTAGAGAAATGGCTTATTTTGAATTTGATAAAAATTAATTTAAGCCATCTCGTCAAATACAAAATTATGTTTTAAGTGGACTACAAATATGTCAGCGGATTTATTTTTATTTATCTTTCAACACTCTGAGAATGAACAATGTAGAAACATCTGAAATTTAGAAAAACACATTGTAGAAGAATCTATAAAACATAAGAAATAGCCACGTATAATTACAACTTGGCACCTCATCTACCTCTCCCCCACGTCCGAAAACCCCACCGTTTACCGCTAAAAAAAGTAAAAACTCATTGTATTCCCAAAATACCCCACCGCTCATCCAACAGAGTTAGAAATTGCGGTAACTTGCACACAATTGAGAGTGCTTTTATGTAACTTTAGCGCTGTGACACAACTCCAGAACTCTCCAGCGCGCTCTTCTACTCGCAGTCCCGAATATTCTCAGTCCTTCCTCAAAACACCTATATCTATATGTATATATATAGCAATTGAATCCGGACTCAACTCATCTTTGTAATACCGTGTTCGAAAGCAATCGATCAGCAGAAAAAACTCTTCTTTCAAATTCTTACTTTTTTTTCTCTCTTTAATTTCAAACAAAGAGCAGGTTTTTGTTTGAAGCTTCATCAATGGCTGCAAAAACTGAAGGCAAGGCCATCGGCATCGACTTGGGCACAACCTACAGCTGCGTCGGCGTATGGCTAAACGACCGCGTTGAGATCATCCCCAACGACCAGGGCAACCGGACCACGCCGTCCTACGTCGCCTTTACCGACACTGAGAGGCTAATCGGTGATGCGGCCAAGAATCAAGTCGCCATGAATCCATCCAACACTGTGTTCGACGCTAAAAGACTCATCGGCCGGCGTTTCTCGGACCCCTCTGTTCAGAACGACATGAAGCTATGGCCTTTCAAGATCGTACCAGGTCCCGGAGACAAACCCATGATCGTCGTCCGTTACAAAGGCGAAGAGAAAATGTTCTCCCCGGAAGAGATTTCGTCGATGATATTGTCGTATATGAGGGAGATTTCCGAAGCATTTCTGGGTCAGCCCATAAAGAACGCGGTGGTCACTGTGCCGGCGTATTTCAACGATTCCCAGAGGCAAGCCACGAAGGACGCCGGTCAGATTGCGGGGCTCAATGTGTTGAGGATCATCAACGAGCCCACTGCGGCAGCAATAGCCTATGGTTTGGACAAGAAAGCGCAGCGAAAGGGTGAGCAAAATGTGCTCATCTTCGATCTCGGTGGTGGCACTTTTGATGTGTCGCTATTGACGATCGAAGAAGGGATATTTGAGGTCAAGGCCACCGCCGGAGACACCCATTTGGGCGGCGAAGATTTCGACAATCGGCTTGTCAATCATTTCGTTGCAGAGTTCAAGAGGAAGCACAAGAAGGACATCGGTGGAAATGCAAGGGCGTTGAGGAGGCTGAGGACTGCCTGCGAGAGGGCAAAGAGGACTTTATCATCAACCACACAGACGACCATCGAAATCGATTCCTTGTATGAAGGAATTGATTTCTATGCCACGATTACTCGTGCCAGGTTCGAGGAATTGTGCATGGATTTGTTCCTCAAGTGTATGGAGCCTGTGGAGAAGTGTCTTCGCGACTCCAAGATTGACAAAAGTCAGGTCCATGAAGTGGTTCTTGTTGGTGGCTCGACCAGGATTCCCAAAGTTCAGCAACTCTTGCAGGACTTCTTCAATGGAAAGGAGCTCTGCAAAAGTATCAATCCCGACGAGGCTGTGGCGTACGGTGCTGCAGTCCAGGCGGCAATTTTGACTGGGGAAGGGGACCAGAAGGTGCAGGACTTGCTACTGCTTGATGTTGCGCCTCTCAGTCTCGGGCTGGAAACAGCCGGTGGTGTAATGACCACTTTGATTCCGAGAAACACAACAATTCCGACCAAGAAAGAGCAGATTTTCTCTACTTACTCGGATAATCAGCCCGGTGTGTTAATCCAGGTGTATGAAGGTGAAAGAGCTCGGACCAAGGACAACAACCTTCTCGGGAAATTCGAGCTCACTGGTATTCCTCCGGCTCCGAGAGGGGTGCCACAGATCAATGTCACCTTTGATATAGATGCAAATGGTATACTGAATGTATCAGCAGAGGATAAGACTGCAGGGGTGAAGAACAGGATTACAATTACAAACGATAAAGGTAGGTTGAGCAAAGAAGACATTGAGAAGATGGTGCAAGATGCAGAGAGGTACAAGGCTGAAGATGAGGAAGTTAAGAAGAAAATTGATGCCAAGAATGCACTGGAGAATTATGCTTACAATATGAGGAATACAGTGAAGGACGAGAAGTTTGGGACCGAGTTGAGTCCGAGTGATAAGGAGAAGATTGAGAAGGCTGTGGATGAGGCGATAGAATGGTTGGAGAAGAACCAATTGGCTGAGGTTGATGAGCTTGAGGACAAGTTGAAGGAACTTGAGGGGATCTGCAATCCAATTATTGCAAAAATGTATCAGGGTGGTGCCGGTGATATGCCCATGGGCGGCGATGACATGCCCGGTGGTGGTTCTAGTGGATCTGCTGGTGGCGCTGGCCCAAAAATTGAAGAGGTTGATTAAATCTGTCGTGGAGGTGGGTTTGGGACAAGCTTTAGTGGGTCTCTGTTTTGAGTGCTGCTTTGTTTCTTGGGCCCACTTTGTGTTTAGTTTGGAAGATATGTTTTGTTTGCTTTTTATTCCATACTTCAGGTTTTGTTCTCTTATTTTGATTAGGTTTCTTTTCTAAAAATCAATGTATATAGAGTTATGAGCTACTAGTATGTAAGAAAGTTTCAACTAATAAAGTAGTTTTTTTTTTTTTTTTTTTTTTTTCGATTACATATGGACTCACTTGCAGTTGTGAATTGCTACACATATATATATATTTGTCAATGGCTACATTGCTCACATTACTTTGTAGTGTATGTGAATAAATCACAAACCTTACCCCAAATACCTCTCAAATCTCCTCTTTATGTTCACTGCCACTTCCTTTATGTTCTTTTATAGTCACTTTCAAATCCCTAAAGAAGAGTATATATAGAAGCCATATGAGACGTGAAGCACCGTGTATTTTATATGTAGGATGTTGGAACCATTTTTAAGTTTTCAGTTTAGAGCAACTGTTGGATGATTGTTCATTGGGTGTGTGTATACAAGCAAGTTAAAAGAGAGAATCTTTGTAGTACAATCTATTACGAGAGAGTATACATTTAGATTCTTTAAAATATCCTACATAAAGAAGATCCAGTTCGTATGATTTTCTATATAACCAATTAGGGACAACGTCGATAGATTGAAAAGAACCTAGCACGAGTTCAATTTTTCTTTATTGTACTATTCGCATCACTAGATGGTATCTACTCAACAATTAGTAAGTAATTCGAATTCAGTTGGACTTCTTTTTATGCGTATCACTAGATAGTATCTACTGAACGATAAGTAATTCGAATTCAGTTGGGCTTCTTTTCTCCCTTAGGATGTATAGTATTTTCTAGGAAAATTAGGCAGTAAAATACAAGGGTATACAAAAAATAGTTAGAACTGGAGAAACAGTTCGAAGGATAAATAAATTTTTTTACATATAAATATATTACTATAAATATATATATATATATATATATATATATATATATATATATTTACTATATTATTATATTCCAACATGTGCATAAATAATTTCTAGTAATATATGTAATATATATATATTAACCGGTGTAGGGGTTCTTTTTAATTGGATGATAAACAATAATATAATAGTGATATGAGGAATACAAATATAAAGGAAAACAGAAGAGATGCTCAGTGTAGGAGGAGGAGAATAAGATCAACTATCAAGATAAAGATGGCGGTAGGACAAGCATACAATATCTTATGACAGCTTTCCTTTTCTGGGGTTGGGTATTCCTTCATAGGCCAGTGCTATTTATAAATCTGGATTTAATTGGTTATTACCTAATGGTCCCTTCCGTGCATGGTCCCTCGCATGCATTACTCCCAATCTGGATTACGTGAGTAATCCTGGAGATTTAGGAGTCTGAAGGGTCTACTCCTTTCCTCGAGCCTTGTCCTATGTTGCCATGTCACTTCTCCCTTAATCAAGGGCATTAAATGTTGCTTGCCCGTCGGTTGGTCAAGCCTGACACAACATTAATTGTAATTTTAAGGTTTGCTGTCATGACATGTATAATCCCATCATCTTGTTAATTGGGCCTTACTGAGAGCGAAGGCACCTCTTGACTTCTCATCCACCAATCCAAGATCCTCTCAAGCATAGATTCCTATAGCACGAAGACCCTACATTCGTCTCGTGCTATATGCAATCCCCTGATGGCGAGCCCTTAGAGCTCCAGCCTTTCAAAGCAATATTGTCTGGTGTAACACCAGGACTCGAGGTATTCGAGAGTTGGTCTCTCGAGACTAGATGGGCCTGGTGTGGTGCCAGGGTTTAGGATGCTCGATGATCGGCTTCTCGAGGTTTATTGGGCCTGGAGTGATTCCAGGGCTTTGAATGCTCGAAGTTTGATCTTTTGAGGCTTGTTGGACCTGGAGCGATGCCAGGGTTTTGAGTGCTCGAAGTTCGATCTTTTGAGACTTTAGGGGCCTGGAGTGATGCTAGGGTTTAGAGTGTTCGAAGTTCGATCTTTCGAGGTTTGGTGGGTCTGGAGCGATGCCAGGGCTTAGAGTGCTAGAAATTTGATCTTTCGAGGCTTAATGGGCCTGGAGCGATGCTAGGGCTTAGAGTGCTCGAAGTTTGATCTTTCGAGGCTTGATGGGTCTGGAGCGATGCCAGGGTTTAGGGTGCTCGAAGTTTAATTTTTCGAGGCTTGATGGGCTTAAAACGATGCCAGGGCTTAGGGTGCTCGAAGTTTGATCCTTCGAGCCTTTTGACTTTTCAAATTACCACGGAGGATTTGGTTAGGGTTGTATTGACTTGTCAACATACCACATAAGTTTCTAATAAATGACACCCACAACTGGTGTGTATTATTATTTGTTGAATTTTTATTTATATGTCGATAAATAATTTTTACTATATTTATAGTAATATACGTACTATATATATATATATATATATATATATATATATATATATATATATATATATTAAGGAAAATAATAATTTTAACGACATTTAATGACTTAAAACCGACACAACTAAAAAATACTAACGTGGCAAGTCACGTAATACCACATAATAACCATAAATGTTCTCTCTTGTTCTCTCTCCTCTGGTAGTGGCGACCTAGTGATAGAGATCCATCTTTGCATTATCCCAAAATCTCAGAGATCTTCTTAGTTTCCTTTTCTGCTCTTTCTATTATATCTTTTTTCTCTGTACAAGTTACTCATGTGTACATATTTTTGCTTAAAATTCTTTCTCTTTATAAAATATCTTTTCCATTAAAAGACTTTGTTACAGGAAATGAAATTTTTGACGGCTTTCTCATAATCTTCAACTATAGTTTTCACCCCAAGAAAGAAAAAAAGGAAGGGAAAAAAAAAAAAAAAAAAAAAAAAGAAGTTGGGTTTGCATATTTATTTTGTTTCTTTTTTCCGTCATTTGGATTTTTTTGGATATCAAGAACAATAATTCAGAATTGAAGAACTGGGGTTCATGAGTTAACCGGGTCTCCATAACTCATTTGGAAAAAAATGAAAATAGAGAAAGTTTAGAAAGGGAATACATATGAATATATATATATATATATATATATATATATATATATGTAAACATTTATATATAGAGAGAGAGAGGGGATGAAAAGACTTAGGGGCGTGGGTGAAGAGGAGAGAGGCGTGTTTGTTTCTATTAAGGGCTCCACTAATTACAACATGACACTTGGAAATCAAGGAGGAGTTGGTACTAAATAGGTTTTTTTAAGTCGGGTGAAATAGCAGTGCTCATTTTTTAATGGACCAGCATGTGCTCGGGGTCAGCTGACTCGGCCTAGACAATAATTACCATTTACATTAGGGTTAAAATCACAAAAATCCCTCTATACTTTCAAAATCGTGCGTAAAACTCCCAGTTGAATCAAATAGGTCCCTGAACTAATAAAATTTGTCAAATTATCCCAAACCCGTAACCGACTCGATAACTAAACTGTGAAATGACAAATTTGACATTACTATTTAATGTTAAATTAAAACTTAAAGATAATTTTTTAAATAACATTTTACCTTTTCATTATTTAATCCAAATTAACCAACACGGCAGCGTTTTTTATTTCACGTACAACTTATATAAATTGTACGTGAATCCATATGTATATAAGTTGTACGTGAAATAAAAAACGCTGTCGTGTTATATATATATATATATATATATATATATATATATATCAATAATCAAATTTTTTCGAACTTAAATTTATCGCTGCCAAAAAAAAAAAACCCACCTTAAACCAGAACTGTTACCATATTATATTACTCGAAAGGAAAGAGCAAATTTATGTAATTTGACCGAATGAATAGGGATCTAATTTGAGAGCCCGAGAGTGTAACACCGGCGAAGGGATATATCTCTATACCTATAAACAGGTCAAATTTTAGAAAAAAAATTCGGCAACCCCCATTGGGAGAAAAAGGGTCATATGTTCTTGCTTAATCGGTGCCGGGTTTCTTGGGTGTGCTACAGAAAGTCGGTGAGTGTCTTGCCGCCGATATGGACACCTCCTTTAAACTTGAAGAACACAAAACCATATGTGATTGGAACGAAATATGGAGGGAGTAGATCGACGTATTCGGGGGAGAAGAGGTGTGGGGTTGTTAGATGTGGCGGTGAATGCAATCAACAGGAGAAAACAGGGGAGGGAGAACACGTTGTTATTGTTGCTGTTGTGGAAGACCGGTAAGTGAGTCTTTGATAGACTACGATCCTGCGTAGTTGGAGAACGAGTCCAACCACTGTGAAGGTAGCCTTCGTTACGATAGTCTCGAACAGCCGATTAGTTGATATATATAGCCACAATATCTAATTTAGTGGGGGTGGAGAGAGCAAGTTGCACCCCTCTTTTCTCAATTGCCATGGATGGTTCCCCAATTGTTGGAAGATTGTAAGAGGATTAAAGACTTGGGGTCAAGGGCAATAATAAAACAATCTGGCGTGTGGTTTTATTGGTAGTTTAGTTGCATAATGTCGATTGTTGCTACCATTTTTTTGTTAAATCTCAATATTTACTCTGTTTAAGGAAAAAAAAAATTGCTTGCTTTATTTTTTTTTATGGGTCTGGTTTTAGAGAGAGAAAGGTATAGAGAGGGCTGAAGAGGAATAAGATCACCATTTTAAGGGTTAAGGCGGCATTTTTGTAATAATTTTTAAATTTTAATTTAATATTAAATAGTAAGGTTAAATTTGATATTTTACAACCCATTTAACGGGTGACGAATTTGGGGTAATTTGATAAGTTTTGTTAGTTCATGACCTATTTGATTCAACCGGGGGTTTTATGCGCTACTTTGGAAGTATGGGGGGTTTTGTGATTTTAACCCTATTTTAAATGTTACAATCCATCCAATGGATGGAACGTGTTTGGGTTATGGAAAAGGATTCAATTTCTCATTGCTATATTTGTTATTACAACACTTTCACTTTAGGAGTGCAAACAATTTTTTTTTTTTTTTTAAAAGAATATTATTACTTTGAGAATACACAATTGTTTGTGTTTAGGAGCACTAAATTGGTGTTTTTAATTTATAATTGAAGAAATTTAATACAAATTTTGTACTAAATTTCTCTTATTCCAAATCTAAGCCACTCATTCGGTATTCCAAAACAAAGCATGTCATTATTTCAAAAGTACAACATCATTACTTAAGGAAAGTGATAATTGTGACGACAGTGTTTTCTATTTCCCTTTTCGATTTTCCGTCGTGAATTTTTTTAATTAATTAATTATTTGATTTATTCTTTTCTTG